TGTTAGCCCAGGGCCAGTCTTCCTCAGCAAAAAGAGGAGGATTGGCATGGATGTTAGCTCAGGCTGATCTTCCTCACAAAAAAAAAAAAAAAAAAGGCCTTTGGGGCTCTTGGATGCTTTTTGCAATTCTCTGCTTTTTCAGGACTTCTCATGGGGCCTTTCAGCTCTCTGTATATTTAAACTTGTCTAAGTGTCTCAGTCTGAACTTATTGGAAAGCACTCTCTGTAGCTCATCACTCTCTTTATTTATCCCCAGCCCTCTTCATCTCTCGTCAAAATTTTATGCAGGTGCCAAGTCAGAATTTCATTCTGAAGACCCACCAGGCTAATCTTGGGCTAGCATCCTTTTCAGAGTTTTTTCAAGTCCTGGGAGCATACGCAGTCTTTTTGTCTTACCTTCTTGAAACAGCTCAGGCCCTTATCCAACAATAACAGCATTCTCCTCCCTATTACAAATTATGTGGTAGCATGTTCACATTGTCACAAGCTCCCTGGCAACTTCATCTCAACAATTTGAATTGGATAAGAAAGGGATCTTGGTGACTTGTATGTTTTCTTATCCTGTGGGTAACTGTGCCATTGACTGCAGGTAATGATAACAGAGTCTCTTTTGTTTTTCCAGGTGGCAAACCATCTGATTTCTTCTGACTCTGTTTCATCTTCTACCAGTAGTTTCTGGAGCTCGAGCTCTACCCTTTGCAACAAGCAACATGTGCATATGTTAAACAAGGGTATACAAGCAGGTAAATTACTTGAATTTAAACATTTCCATTGAAATACAGGTAGCTCTTAAATGTAAGATACTCAACCTCACATAATAAAAGAAATGAAGATTAAAACTACTCAGATGCCATTTTTCACCTATCAGATTGGCAAAAATCTAAGTTTGATAGCAAGTTTGTGGACAAGAGTGTAAGGAAATAGGTACTCTCATACGTTCTAGTGGGAGTGTGAGTTGGGAGTACAACCCCTATGACAGGCAATCTGGCAGTTTCTATCAAAATTACTTTGATCCAGCACTTTTACTTTTGGAATTTAGCCTATAGACATACTGTGCATATGTGCAAAATAACAAGTGTACAGAATTAACCATTGAAGTATTGTTTATTATAGCAGAAAATTAAAATCAACTTAGATGTCCTTCAATAGCCAAGTAGTAAAATAAAATATTGTACATTCATATAATGAAATCCTACTTAGGATAAGGATGCTCTCTCTCTACTAATATGGCAAGATCTCCAAGATATATAATTAAAAAGAAAAAGCAAGGTACAGAACAGTGTATAGCGTGCAACTACATGTATTTAAAAAATAGAGAAAGGAAGAGAATTGCTTGAATGTGCACAAAAAATTCTGTGGAATCATGGGGTTATAAACTAAGTGGAGAAGAGGAGTGGGAAGGAGGCTTTTCGCTTTATGCCTTTCTATATCTTTTGATTTTATAAAATAAAAATAAACTTCCCCCTTGATTTTTTCCCCCCTCAAGTCTTGTCTTTACCTCTATCAACCTCTTCCTTACCTGGGTGACTGGCAGTAGGACTATAAGCATTTACTGTCTTCCTCACTTGGGATCAGAGCTCAAGTCCTTTACCCATTGAATCTATATTAGTAGTTCTTTCCCTCTAATATCTAAACCGACTTAGGAATAAAAACCCTCTTTCTTTCTCCCTCTTCTCCCTCCTTCTCTCTCTCTCACTCTCTCTCTCTCCGCCCTCCTTCTCTTTCTTCCTCTCTCTCCCTCACAGCCCCCCACCCCACCCAGAGGAGGCAGTAGCCTGCATTTTTGAAGGCTTAAAAGTTTTCAATTACTGTCTTGAATATACCTGCTAACTGAGTCTCAAGGCTGCTCCCAGAAACATCTGTGATCTTTCCCCTCAGGTAACTTGGAGATTGTGAATGGTGTCAGAAAACACACTCGAGATGTTGGGATGACTTTTCCAACTCCAAGTTCTAGTGAGGCTAGAGAAGAGGACAGTGATGTGACTTCCTGGTCAGAAGGAAAAGTAGAAGAGAAAAGGCTCCTTACCAATTATCTTGGGGACAAAAGGTTATGGAGGAACAAGCAGAGTTGCCGTGAAGGTTGGTTTCTAATTCCCGGTTCTGTAGCAGAAAAACCAGTGAATTTCGTGTCTCTTGCAGTGCTAAAATTCTTTGTTTCTAAATGACTCTGTGTTGACCGCATCTCCCCCCAGCACCAGTTGGCAAATTTTCACAGTATCTAGAATTACAATTACAGAGTCATGCCTGCAGTTAAGCAGTCTCCAGGGCATTCTGGTGGCCTCTGGCAGCCGAGTCCCCTGAGAGCCTATGTTACACACATCTCTGGTGAGAAAAATGAAAAATCTTTCTTAAAAATATTTCCTGTAGGAGTTTCGTGGTTTGTTCCTGTGGAAAATGTGAAGTCTGCTCCTAAGAAGGAAAACCTGCCCAAGCTTCGTGGCCCTGGTGTCTCCTGGTTTGCACCAATAACCAACACCAAACCCTGGAGGGAGCCACTACGGGAACAGAACTGGCAGAGACAACACATGGCCAGCCACGGGTCACTAGCAGGCCCAGGCAGAGATCCACTGAGGCCATTTGTGAGAGCAACCCTACAGGTGCAATGACGTTGAGTTAATTTTAGCCATGTGTTTAAGGGGGAAGAAAGGGCAAGATGCAAAGAAGTTAAATCTGTGACTTGGCCGGCTGAAGGAAGGTCACGTGACCCTTGTTTCTAGCACCTCCACAGTTCATCTGTTCTCATTCTCGTCATTAATCAAAGGCTGCCTTACTATTAACCATTCTAAATCACGCATCACCGTCAGTATCTGGGGACAAGGCAATAGAAGGGAGGATGTTGTAACGCTGCTCACTGGGTTTGTGGATACCTGCATGTGGAGTGCTCTGGCAGCCTGACGTTTGTGTCAACCTCACATTTGTTCCTCCGTTTACATAACTCCTATTCCTGTTTGACAGAGGCTTTAAAAGGCACCAAGTCTCTGTTTTATATGTACCTTGGGAGCTAAAAGAAATGTTATTTAATGATGTATTTGTTTGAAGGGAAATTTAAAATAGCCCAACGGGCCGAGCTCTATCCCATTGACATTTGGGAGAATTGTAATTGCCGCAATCTTAGTTCTTGGCTTATTCCAAAAGTGTTTCTTTGATTCCTCTGATTTCCCTACTGGAGCTCTCCCCCACAGAGACTTGTTAGATTATTCTTCACCTCTAGATATTTTCTGCGCTTTAGAACCAGGCTCTCCAAATCTGTTGGGCAGGTACTGTTTTTCTGGGCCCTTGGAGAACAGACTGCATCATTAATGTGAGGTCGGGGGCTTTTTCTCCTCCTCAGGAATCACTTCAGCTTCATAGACCTGACTTCATCTCCCGCTCTAGGGAGAGGATAAAGCGCCTAAAGTTAATAGTCCAGGAGAGGAAGCTGCAGAACATGTTACAGAGTGAGCGGGAGGCACTGTTCAACGCTGTGAGAGAATGGCAGGGCTACCGGGACCCCATGCATCCGCTCCCTAAGAGAGGTACACTCCACCTGTTCACTTTTCTGTTCCTGGGTAGAGAGGGCCAGGTCTGCTTCATGCTAGGGAGCACTGCTCAACTCCAGGCCAGTTACGTGGACAGAAAGGGACTTTTTGCTTGCTGAGACTCAATCTCCTTAGATAGCAGACCTGCCCCATTTAGCTCTCAGCACTTTCGTGATCCAAATAAGGCCAGTTACTCTTGCCCTGTCACTGCATCTTAAAGACGAGAGTGTGCATTGAGAGTGGTGTTTTTATAAACCAGCTCTGTGTCCGTGAGCAAGTTAGTTCCAAAAGTATCATGTTTTTTCCCTTAAAGATGGGGCTGATTCCGGGCTTGCCTACCTCATAGGGTGGCAATAATAGAATAAAAACACTTATGTAGCCCTTACGTTTTGCCCAGACACTGTTCTTGTTTAATGCTTACAACACCTCTCTGAGGTAGATACTATTAATATCCCTATTTTACAGATGAGAAAACTGAGGCAAAGAGAGATTAAGTACCTTGCCCGAGATTACATACCTAATAAGCTGGGATTTGAACCCAGGTGGTCTGGCTCCAGAGTCTGTGCTCTTAACAATTGTGCTAGGTGTAAGATCTCAATAAAATCTATGAAAGCTGTGAAAACTATCAAGTGCTACCTAACGCTTTCATCACAGCCTTACCTATAAACTGGTCAGTGTTTCAGTTCACACTGTCTAGTCTGTGCCACAGCATTTTGTGTCCTCGGGAGCCTTAGGCTGCTGTGACAGTCACCATAGTCTAACCCTGGCCTTGGCCACTGCTCACCACCCAGCACTGCCAGCTCAGAGTAGGGGCACAAAGTCCTAGCAGCTCCCTCTCACAGCTCTTGAGCAACACACCCTTCCTTATTAAGTCACTATCCACTGAAAACCCTTTCTTTTGCTTAGGCTTCTTGGCTGCTGAGAAGAACAGGCCTATTGGAAAGAAGGAAATGATTCAGAGGTCTAAACGGTAAGGCCAAAAGAATAAGAGTAATTATAAAAGTATAAATCAGGCCACCAAGTGGTCAGAAGCTCTGGCTTGCCCCTAGAAAAGCATTAGGCTCAAGTTAAAACATTATGAGAAAATTAGTCGTGAAAGTAGTTTCTCACTTATGGCACTAAAAAAGAAAAGAAAAATAGATAGCAGATCATGGTGGGGATGACTCATACACAAAAGACACAAAGAATCTCCACTAATTTGCATGACTTAGTCAGGCTCATCTTTATTAGAAACCTAAATATAAATAAAGAATATTTTGAAATAAAATTAAGTATTTATTTGGGGTCTTACCCTTTATCTAGGCAATCTCATTTCTAGGAGTTTATCCAGTACAGTGAGAAATAATGGAATATTCTTCAAGACACATTAAGCTAAGCTTAAAAAAGAAATCAAGTTTCAGAAGCATGTGTACATTGCTACATTTGTAGTCTTTAAAAAGAAGTATTTGTGCTGGTATACATGCATATACTTTTATATGCATAGAATTTCTCTGGAAGGATACCCAAAAAATTGGTAATACTGGTTGCCTTTGGGAAGAAGAACTGAGTGACTAGGATATAGAGGTAGGAGAAAGACTAATTTTTCACCTTTTTATACTTTTTAAATTTTGAGCCTTTGCATGCGTTAGCTATTCATTAATTAATTAGAGATATGCATATATTGATCATGAGAATGCCATGGAATAACTAAGATAAGGGTTACCTTTTAGGGTTTCATTAGAGACCTCCTTTAATAAGAACAGTTTCATAGTCGGCATGGTGCTTGAAAGCAATTTATCTTAGGTAATTAAAGCATTACTCTTGAAATCTTGCTTTTACTCTCCATTGAGTAAACCCTTTCCTTATGGGTAATTCAAAGGGATGCTTTAATCAAGTGGTTCTCAAAGTGTGGTTCGTGGACCTCTGGAAGTTGCTGAAACCCTTGCAGGGGATTTGCCAGGTCAAAACGAATTCAAAATAAGACTAGGACGTTATGCGCCTTTTTCACTGTGTTGGCATTTGCACTGATGATGCAAAAGTAAAGGGGGGAGGAGTAAAACTGCTGGTACCTTAGCACCATTTGAGACAGTGGCACCAAACTGTGCTGGTCTAGGAGGCGTTGTATTCTTCACAGCCACACACCAGCAGTTAATGGAAGTACACGTAAAGCACTCCTGCTGCATTCCAGAAGAGGTGATTGGTTCAAGGAAAAGCACTGACACCGTGGTTTGTGTAGCGAATTGAACTAGCTGCCTTTTTCATGGAACACAGCTTTTACTTGAAAGAATGACAGATAAACTGATTATTCCAGCTTGGGTGTATGACAGACATTTTCTTGAAAATGAAGAAGTGAATCTGTCACTTCAGGGAAAACAGCTGACAGTATTTATTGCCAAAGAGAAATTTTGAGCTTTCAAGCAAGGAATAGAATTCTAGAAAACTTGTGTCTACCATTATGAGCTTGACTGCCTCCCAGTACTTAGAGTTTTCCGATGAGATCATCAGTGACGTTAACAACTGTGATGTTTTTCATATTATATAAGTAAATATGTCAGCATTTGGAAGAACTGCATAACTCACTGGACCAGGATTTTCCAAATGACTATTGTATGGTGTTACAAAATCAGGCATGGATAGAATATCCGTTCAAAGTGCAAGGTAGACTGATGTACTCTGTTTATGTAATGGAGTAGAAACAGGTCACTGATATGGTTTCAGATTCCACCCTGCAACTAATTTTTTTAAAACTACCAGTTGTCAAGTTTTGGTGTAGTATCAAGAAAATCAATAATTATTTGAAAAGAATCTTGAAATACTCCTCTCTTTTCCAACTAGCTATGTGTGTAAACTGGATTTTTTTAAGTGTGTACTTTAACCAGAACAACATATAACCACAGATTTAAGACAGAAGCAGAGAAAAGAATCCAGCTGTCTTCTATTAAACCAAATGTTAAAGAGATTTGCAAAATATGTAAAATAGTCCCACTCTTACTAAAATATTGTTTTGGGGGCTGGCCCTGTGGCTTAGCGGTTAAGTGCGCGTGCTCCGCTACTGGCGGCCCGGGTTCGGATCCTGGGCACGCACCGACACACCGCTTCTCCGGCCATGCTGAGGCTGCGTCCCACATACAGCAACTAGAAGGATGTACAACTATGACATACAGCTATCTACTGGGGCTTTGAGGGGGTGGGGGGGAAGGAGGAGGCTTGGCAATAGATGTTAGCTCAGGGCCAGTCTTCCTCAGCAAAAAGAGGAGGATTAGCATGGATGTTAGCTCAGGACTGATCTTCCTCACAAAAAAATAAATAAAATAAAATAAAATATTGTTTTGGAAAACATATTTAGTTTATATGTTAGCATGTAACAGGCTTATTATTATTATTATTATTTGTGTGTGTGTGTGTGTGTGTGTGAGGAGATCACCCCTGAGCCAACATCTGCCCATCCTCCTCTTTTTTTGCCGAGGAAGACTGGCCCTGGGCTAACATCCCTGCCCATCTTCCTCAGCTTTATATGGGACGCCGCCACAGCATGGCTCGCCAAGCAGCGCGTTGGTGCGCGCCCAGGATCCAAACCGGCGAACCCCGCGCCGCCGCAGTGGAGCACGCGCACTTAACCGCTTGTGCCACCTGGCCGGCCCCCAGGCTTATTATTTTTAAATGAATTAAGAAATAAGTATTTCTAAAATGTTTAGTTTTAATTTCTAATGCAGTAAGTATCAATAGATAAAATCCACATTGACCAAAATTACCCTCGATATTTAGGAGTATAAAGGGGTCCTAAGTCCAAAAGATTTGAGAAGTATTGCTTCACTCTAACTGTCACAAAATTTAGTTAGGGGAAATTACACAGTGTTTATTGTGTGGCAGCTAATTACCCTATCACCTCAGCAAGAGGATTCCTTGCTATAGGGGACTGTGAAGCTTGCCTACAGGAAGATAGGCAGGGCATCTTCTGTAAGGTATCAGTGCTTTAAAACATAAATATAGTTGTAGGAGTGGATGAAGTACCCATCTTCTGGGAAGAAACTCAGGTTTTAAACTGATGCATTTTCATTAGAGTGCTTCTATTCAATTTTATTTCTGGTATGGCCTCTTTTCAAGGAAGCCATCCACTTCTATCTGAGGGATCTTAAAGATCATCTAGTCCACCCTTAGTTTTTAGGAAACTGCAACCCAAAGAGAGGAAGTAGCCCAACAAGTCAGGGCCAGAACAGGGGTCAGAGCCTGGCAGTGGGCTCACCATCCATTACTCCTTCAACTGTATCGTATGAAGGATTCGTATCTCTGGATCTCTGTGTTATTCATCTCTTTTCTCATCACCTACCTCTACCAAAGGTGTTTAAAGATTTCTGATGAGAAGAAAGGATTTGGAGAAGAGACAACTTGACTCATTTAACTGGAAACATTTCTTCCAATGTGTCTTTCAAGAGAAGTTGTTTCACTAACTTATTAATGCAAATATTTGAGTATGTGCTGGATACTGGACTAGGTACCAGAGATGAAAGATAATTGACTCCAGACCACAAGCCAATGGACAGACAGTTCCAATAATATGTAGTGTCTTTGTCTGCAATACTATGTCATAATTGCTTTCAAGGAGCCATTTACAAAGTGTAGTTTCTGGTTATTCTGATTAGCCTGGCTCCCAGCTTTCGAGCCCTATAATACACTCTTTCTGGTCCAAGCAGATGTTCTCTTCATGCCACATGTTCTCCTTTGGATAACTCTTGTTTTCCAGTGGCTTTTGTTATCCCTTCTTTAATGGTGACTTTTTTTTTTCAAGCTTTACTGAGATATAATTGACAAATAACATTGTGTAAGTTTAAGGTGCACAACGTGATGATTTGATACACATATATGTTGCAAAATGTTTACTACAATAAGATTAGTTAACACCTTTCCTCACATGATTATCATTTTGTTGTCGTTGTTGTTGTTATGGTGAGAACATTAAAGTTCTATCCTAGCAAATTTCAAGTATACAGCACAGTATTGTTAACTAGAGTCACCATCCTATACTTAGATCCCCAGAACTTATTCATTTTGTAACTGGAAGTTTGTGCCCTTTGACCAACATCTCATTCCCCCCATCCCTTAGCCCCTGGCAACCACCATTCTATTCTCTGTTTCTAGGAGTTTGATGTTTTTAGAGTCCACATATAAGTGAGATCATTCAGTTTTGTCCTTCTCTGTCTGACTTATTTCACTTAGCGTAATGCCCTGAAGGTCCATCCATGTTGTTGCAAATGGAAGGATATCCTTTTTTTTGCTGAAGAAGCTTTGCCCTGAGCTAACATCTGTGCCAGTCTTCCTCTATTTTGTATGTGGGTCACCGCCACAGCATGGCCACCGACAAGTGGTGAGTTCTGCGCCCATGAACCAAACCCAGGCTGCCAAAGCGATGTGCGCCGAACTTAACCACTAGGCCACAGGGCCAGCCCCAGGATATCCTTTTTTTTTTAATGGCTGAATAATATTCCATTGTGTGTGTTTGTGTGTATGTGTATTACATTTTCTTTATCTATATCTATCTATCTATATATCTATTTCTATCTATCTATCTATACACATATATCACATTTTCTTTATCCATTCATCCATTGATGGACACTTAGGTTCTTTCCATGTCTTCACTGTTGTGAATAATGCTGCAGTGAACACAAGGGTGCATATATCAATTCAAGACAGTAATTTCATTTCCTTCAGATGTATACCCAGAAGTGTAATTGCCAGATCATTTGGTAATTCTATTTTTAATTTTTGAGGAACCTCCATGCTGTTTTCTGTAGAGGCTGCACCAATTTACATTCCTACCAGCAGTGCACAAGGGTTCCCTTTTCTCCATACATATCCTTGCCAGCATTTGTTATCTCTCTTGCTTTTTTTTTTTTTTTGGATAGTAGCCATTCTAACAGGTGTGAGATGATATCTCAGTGTGGTTTTCATCAACAGTGACTTTAAAAATGCATGTTTGTTTCTCTTTGGTCTCTCTCCTGACCTTCACTTTTGTGTTTTCAGTTAGTAGTCATCTCCACTGTGTCCAAAATGGAACTCCCCATTCTCCACTCCCATACTTGCTGGGGCCACCCACTCACCTGGCTAGAAAGCTGGGGGTTGATCACCTCCAGCCATGTTACCCATGACTGCACATGCAGCCAGCTGGCTTGTCCTGGAGACTCGGCTTCTTGATTGCTCTGGAACCCACTCTCCTCACTGCCTTGATGAAGGCTAGCCTCTACTCATGGAGAACCGCTCTTCTCCCTGCTTCTACTCTTCATCTTCTCTAATCTATTTTTCACAGAGCCTCTACATCATTTTCAATGATATTTTTTTTACAGATTATAGAAAACTTTGGCAAATATAGAGAGAAGTGGAAGTAAGAAAATAAATATCATAATCCTTCCATCTAAACATAACTAACACTAGTCCTGTTTCTGGCAGGAGTGAGGGTTTTGCAGAGACCTGTATTAACACACACCTTTTTGCCCCCAAGTTGTTGATCATACTGTATATACAGGTTTGTAGCCTGCTTTATTTTGCTCAACTATTGTGAACATTTTCCCATATCATTAAAAATTCTTTGAAACATCTTTTTTTATGCTTTGTAATAATTTCATTATATTTCATAATCTGTTTGTTCTTTTATTGGAAATTTAGATTATTTCCAATTAAAGTGTATTTATCAAATGCATGTTTGATCATGTTCCTCCCTGCTTAAAATCAGTGGCACCCAATCCCTGATAGGACAGAGCCCAAGGTTTTCACATGCCTACGAGACCTTCCACAGCCCACCTCACCTTCACCCCATCTGCTTCCCACCTGCTCCCCTAGACTTCTTTCCGTGAGGCTTGGACTCCATTCTTACCAGTACTCCCTTCTCCTCCTGTCCCCTTTCTGCTCCTATCTATTCTTCAAGACCCACCTCAAGTTTCGTCTCCTCCCTCGTCTTCCCTGATCTTCTTCAGTCAGAATAAGTTTCTTCTTTTCCTGTAACTGTGTGTAGCATTTTGTAGTTATAACCACTAATATACTTCTCTTTCCCATTATTTCCCTTGTGTTTAAAAATATAGTAGTAATACATGTTCATTATCTTATATTGAAACTATACATTTTTGCATGTGAAGTGAAAAGCAGTTCATCTCCACCCCTTTATCTCACTCCTTTGCTGGAAGTAACCACTATATGCAGGATTTTATTATGTTTTTATTTATCCGTCTCCTCTTGCAGACATGAGCACCCCAGGCTGGGGTTCTTTGTGTTTAAGTGTCTAACAGGGAGCTGAGCACACAACAGGGGCCCAGGGCTTGTCTGTGAGGGGCATTTAGTCCCCTCACAGGGAGATGTGGTGAAAAGAGATCATGTGCCTCTGCTGATAACCTCATTGCTGTAGTAGTCTGATAACCTCATTGTTTTCTCCCTTTCCATTGGTGCCATTTCTAAGGATTTATGAGCAGCTCCCAGAAGTACAGAAAAAGAGAGAAGAGGAAAAGAGGAGATCGGAATATAAGTCATACCGGCTGCGAGCCCAGCTATATAAAAAGGTCAGTCAGTCCTAGAGCGGGATTGATCAGGTTTATCAGGGGAAAGAGAAATTGAGAGAAACACATCTGACCTGTTTGAATTAGTGACATTTAGGGAGTGAACTTAAGCTTGTAATGCACTGGACCACTGCTAAAATTTGGAAGATAAAGGCACCTGTGACTAGATTTCAAATCTAAAAAGGCAAATCTAAAGAAGGCATCTTCCAGGCATACATTTGGAATGAAGCCAAATTTCATACTTAGGAGTCAGTTTAGATGTCATGGTGGAAATGTCCAAATCTATCAAAATTGTTGCGTTTTCATTCCAGAGTCCCAAATGGTAGTTTTATGCCTCTTATGGGTAAATCATATACCTCTGGAACTTTTAAAATAAACTAGAAAATGTCCAAGTGTAGCCTGAGAGTTGGTAACTTGGGGAGTCAGAGCCTCAAAGCAACCACTCTTTCCTCCCCGTGGCCCCAGTGGAATCAGCGGTGCCGCAAGTCCCAGAACCCCACAGGCCAGGGGACTTGCTGCCAGTTAATTCCTTGAGAAACCAGATAGGCTGCTTGCCTGAAGGTCCACATCCTTCACTGTTCTCATTTTCTTCCCACCCCCACTTCACCCCAGAGGACTCTGAAAGTCAGAAGCCAAAAGACAGTTCATACAGACTGATGTGGGACTGGAGAACTGCTTCTGGAGCACACCCCAGAGCTTGGGCCAGGCTCCCTCAGGTGGGGAGGCCCGTGGCTCCGCATGGCCTGTCTGGGGTGTCAGCGTCAGAAGGCCAGGCCTCTCACTGTGCTTGTGTGTTTGTGAACCGATAGATGAGTTAGTCTGTCAGGATTATAGGTTATCTGTATAGATTATAGGTTTCTGTATAGAAATAATAGATAGTGATATAGATCATCTTTCCTAAACACTTCAGGAAGTATTTTTTGTATAATGACCATAGTTTCTGTAGCTGAGGAAGATAAACAAGACCACACTGGTCTTTTAAGTGGCACATGGGGGGTAAGGAGTGGCTGTCTGCCCCTGATGGCCAGAGTATCTGACTTCTTTCCTGCCTTTCTTTTCTTCCACAGAAAGTAACCAATCAACTCCTGGGGAGAAAAGTTCCCTGGGACTGACATAAGATTATTTTCCTCAGAGCCTTGGAATTATATTTTATCAACCTGGAGAAGCACAATCCTTACTTTTATGAGTCTGGTTTAATAAAATTTAATTCGTTGTCCATGTGTAATTTAGAAGTGGTAGCCTTCTAAAGAGTCTGAGGCAAAGTGGTGATTAAGATTATTCATGGTTTGGGAGCAATACTTTCACCACAGTGGCTTTGCCCTCCGGGATGTTTGTTATGATGACATTATCTCTTAATTCTAGCCGAGAATAAGTCCCTTTTTATATGTGTTTTTATACTTTTAGAAATAAATAACTTCTGATTGACTTATAGTAAAGCAAGCAACAGATGATCATTTCTTTCCCATCTGGAGATGTACAGGGAGCTGTGCGATATCTTCCCTGAGGTGTGTGGGGAGCCTCAGTGCAAAGGTATCAACAGCGGAAATAGGCTGTGGGAAGGAAAATGTGGGCTTTCTTTAGAAACACAGCGTGACGTGGCAAGAGCGCTGCCGTGGGCTTTGTGGAGAGGGTGTTTGGTTGGGTACTCATTGGGCATGCCCAGAGCCTCCTGGCAGACACAGGCACCTTGGGTTCAGGGGCTGGCTCTGTAGGCTGGGAAGAAAGGCCAGTAGCCTCTGGTGGACTTTCCCCCAGCCACTCTCTTGTTTTCAAGATTGAAGCCTCAGACCATTTAGCATCACACATGGAATCAATGTGTATAACCTGGAAAAGCACTTCTGAAAAGCATGAGTTAATAAATGTGATAATGTACATAAAGCACTTAATCCTGTGACCTGGAATTACAGCTAAGGCCCAAAGTTGAGGAGGAGAAGGTGCTAAGCAGCCTCATTCTAAGTCAGCGAAGCCCCAGCAGGGCAGTAGGGGCCAGTTGCCTCCCCAGAAGGCTTCCTGAAAGGCTATATCAAAGAGCAGGCCCTGCCACCAAGCACGGCTAAGAGCTTTCAAATGGTGCCACCGAGGCTCCCTTCCTACCCCAGAAGGAGGCTATGAAGAAGGCTCAGAGAACAGAACAGAACCCATGGTACATGATGTCTACTCCTAGTTCTTCTCTTTCTGGCTGGGCACTTAAGCACTTTGGGCCAGTTTACCTGTAAAATGAGAAGGTTAGTATGTCTAACTCCCCTTTCAGCTTTCAAATGCTGTGTGACTATTTACATGTCTTGTGAGAAGGTATTATTCAGAAAACAAACAGAAAGTGATAGTTGTCTGGAAACTTGGGTCTGCAAGGAAACCAGGACAGGATGGAGTCTGCCTAGGAATGATGAGCATGATTCTCTTTAGGCCCAGGGCTGTGTCATGTAGGCGCCTTCCCAGAGCATTTAGGTTCAGGGCCTGAGAAGCCACAGGTGGCAGCTGGCAGCTAGCTTCTCCTAGCCCCAGCCAGAACACACCTCCTTGAGAATGCCAGTGCAGGCGCCTGGGGAGAAGCCATTAGTATCTCCACTAGGTTAGTGTGAACAAGAAATCTGCAGGCTTGCTTCACATTATTACAGTATTTCCCAGGCCACCAGCCCCTGCAGGGTCAACCCGGGTGTGAAATGAACGCCCGGCGTGGGGGAGGACTGTCGAGAGTTCTCACAATGCAGTTTTCCTTGGCTGAGTGCTGCCTGCAGAACCTAAGCGTTGGCCTCACAGGTAATCCTAGGGCCTCTCCCAGAATCTGTTCTGCCCCTGAGAGCTCAGGATGCTCCAGGCTGCACACCTGGCAGAAGCCACAGTGTCCCCACCTCATGCTGCCACTTCTGTAGGCATGAGGCTGCTCTGCTCCCACCCTCACCACACCCCCCAACGCCCCCACCCCCAGGACCTTACTCTGAAAGTGCTTTGTTCCCCATGCCTGGCAGGACCTGGAGCTGCTTGTTTTGCTTTGGTTTTTGTTCTTGCACAGGTGCAAGAAGCCCAGGCCCAGGCTGAACCATTGCCCCTGGTTCTGACCTGTCGTGGGGATTCACTCCTGAATGGCTTCTTTCTAGATCCAGTTCACACCTAACCTGAGAACCCACTGCCCTCTTTTCTCCTGGAGGTTGGGCTCCAGCCTCCGCAGCCACTCCTCTTCCCTGAAGGCAGCTTCTGTTTCTGCCCAACCCCTCAAAGGCCTCCAGTGACCATGGGCACATGTAGTGTGGCGTGAGGGAGTGTATAAAGAAGGCAGAGTGTTCTAACTATAAATCACAATGCATTTTGTGTCCCAATTCATTGCTGGCCGGTCGTTAGAAAGTTAGGCCAAGCTGAACTGTTGACATGGTCTTCATCTTTACCTGATTGGGAGCTAGGTGATTTTAACCTACAATGTTATTTTTATTTTTACTGGCCTTTCCCAGTTTCTCACTAAATACTCATGAATGCTGGTAGGGGTGAGGGTCGGGGCAGAATAGTATTAAAAATTAAGACTAAATTATTGGCCTCTAGGGGGCACTCTTGGCTCATCTCCACAGTTCTCACCCTCTTGCAACTCTCCAAGGTGAAGATCCTGATCAAAGGAAACTACAAACCCTCCAAGGCTGGGTCACTTTCCAAATCTGACTGGGCTATATTTTCAGGGGGTTACAGTCACAAGGTACATAGATGTGGGCTCTTCATTTTCTTGGTCTATGGTGGATAGGACTCTAGCCCTATCTGCTTCTCTCCTGTTTTTCAGAGAGCCGTAGTTGGCTGGAAAATACCCACTAGCCCAAGCCAACTCCTCCTTAGACATTGGGGTAAATTCTCCCTCTTTCCCTCCCTCTCTCTGTATGTGTGTGTGTGTGTGTGTGTGTGTGTGTGTGTTTCTCACTCTCTTGTCCCTGGACCTGTTTTCCTCCTATTCTGACGCCTTCACTCTGGGTGGTCTTATTGTTGCACAGGTTAGATCTGAGACTCTGCTCTCGACTTAGAGAAAATAGAGCCTCTTCAGAGGTCAGCCCAGATTTCTAGACTTCTGCATGGGGTTTTGGCGTCCAGCATGTCCCCAGAGAGGTGTGGGCAGTATCACATATTCCTACAATCCCTGACCCATTCTCATCACAGTGTTTGTCCAGCCTCACCATTGCTCCCCATACAGCCTAACATCAGAATCTAAGTCCAGAACCTCAACTGACCATTGGGCACCTGGGGCTGGACTAAAAAAATTCCCACTCTAGCTTCATTTCATGAGACAGGGACCAATTGAGAAAACGTGGGAAAGTATATATGTAGTTGCCACTGTCAGTCCCTAACTTAGAGGCTGAGAGCTTCTCAGGGAGGAAACTGGGAGCAGCCCTCTCATACCCAGGAGATACACCTGGTGCCATCTTATGATAGGCAGCAGTCAACTCCAGATCCCAGAAAATAACTAGGAATGGAAAACTCGTTGCTTCCTGAATCTCATTAGATAGTAAGCTCCACGCAGGCAAAAATCATAATGTCCTTGTTCACTTTGTTTTGCCAGGGCCGAGCACACTGTAGTGCATCATTGGCTCAACAAGAATTTGTTGAATGGCACCCAGAGGGTGATCAGTCCAGACTGCAGGCCAGAGGCTCTGGGAAAACTTCAGGGAGATCTAATTATTCAGTTACCAGAGACACCTGAACGTCATGAGGATATATTTAAACATCTGATAGAGTTTGGAGTTGAATAGATGATAAATACATAAAATACTAAACAACAACCAACAAAAGATAATTATCAATTCCAAGGAAAAGAATACAAAACAAAAACCTGCAAGAAAAGATAAGTAATATCATAGTTTTACAATATAACTTAGCTTGAAATAAACACAGAATATTGATGTACCCCAAACGGGGATCTAACCACTTTGGGAAGCTGGGAATGGGAAGGGTGCGTATGCATGGTGGAGGCATGGCCTCAACCTCCTGGTCAGCGGTCAGCAGACCAGCCTGAAACTGAACAATCGGGAGGAGCCACACAGAGCTCATAAGGGAGGTGGAGGTGAGTGCGCATGGAGAAGTGTAAGGGCTGCTCATTCCCATCACCAAGCCATAGAACTCTGACTCTTTACAATAGGTAGGTACTTACATAATTTTGATTGAAATCTAAACTAAAAAATATTAAAGATTTAAATAGTGGCAAAACAAAACTTTTAGAAGTAAATATATGAGAGTATCTCTAAGAACATAAGGAAAAATGTCTTAAGGCACAAAAAAAAGCAAACCATAAAGAAAAAGATTGATAGATTCAATTGATAAAATGTAAAAATTTTATCAAAGTACACCATAAAGACAGTGAAAATACAAGGCACACAATGGGAGAAGATAATTGCAGCACATGTAACCAACAAAGGATTTGTATCCAAAGTATATAAAGAACTCTTGTGAGTCATTTTTTTAAAAAGACAGTTTATAGAAAGATGGGCTAAATAAAAACACAAGCAGGCAATTTTACTGAAGAACAAACGCAACTGGCCTGTAAAAATAGGAAAAATCTCTTGACTTTATTATTAGCAGAATAGAAATACCTTTTTACACTCACTGGATTGGCAAAAATTTTTGTCAGACACTGTGAGTGTAGGAAAGCTTGTGGATCAAGTGGAATTCACGTGCTGCTTGAGGGAGCGTGCATTCACTCCACACCCCTGTGACCCTGTGTGTGTGCCCTGAACACAAGGGCACCCCAGCCAGTCAGCCCCTGGAAGGGTGACAGCAATATTCCTCATAATAGCAAAGAACTGGAAACAACCCAGATGTCCTTTGACAAGAGAGTGGATAAATGAAAAGTTGTATATTTATGCAGTGGAATTCTAGACAGAAAAGAAAATTAATGAACAACAGCCACACACATAAACCTTGAGGAATCTTAGAAACAATATTGAGTAGAAAAAAACAGACTACAGAAGGATGCATTGTGTGACACCATCATTATAAAGTTCAAAACCATGCCAAGGTCAACATATTGCTTAGGGACACATATGGACATGGGGTTTTAGGATGATAGATGGAGGGAAAGATGGATTTTTTTTAAACCTCAAAATAGTGGTTATGTCTTGAGGGGGATGGGATTGGGGAAGAGACAGTTTCACGTCAAAAATAGTGACACGTTTCTAGTTCTTTAGTTCACGGGTATTCATTTTATTGTGCATTATAATTTATGTAAGATTATTTTATACGTATCAAATATTTTCTAATCCTACAGTAAGAAGTTTGTTGAACAAACATTCATAACTAGTTATACATAATTTCTAGCTCTTCTGAACAGCACTGCTATAAATATCAGGACCCAACTTTGTCTCTCACTGCACTTTTTAAGCCTGCTCTGTTGGGGGCATTCCTTCCCTTATGCTAAGGATGAGAACTCAGGTAATCCCTTGACTGTTCTGATCACTTTTAGATGATCATACAT